TCAGGTCAGGTCAGGGTCAGGTCAGGGTCAGGTCAGGGTTAGGTCAGGGTCAGGTCAGGTCAGGGTCAGGTCAGGTCAGTGTCAGGTCAGGTCAGGTCAGGTCAGGTCAGGGTTAGGTCAGGTCAGGTCAGTGTCAGGTCAGGGTTAGGTCAGGATCAGGTCAGGTCAGGATCAGGTCAGGTCAGGATCAGGTCAGGTCAGGGTCAGGTCAGGGTTAGGTCAGGGTCAGGTCAGGTCAGGGTCAGGTCAGGTCAGTGTCAGGTCAGGTCAGGTCAGGTCAGAGTTAGTTTGCTCAGGTAAACATGTCTCACCTGTGTTTAAGACAACAAACACTGACTCGTGGACAATGTGGACATGTCCTCACCGTCTCTGCAGGTCTTGCTGTCCTCCAGCAGCTGGACTCCGGTGGGACAGGCACACCTGTAGAAGGGTCTGCTTGGAGACAGCAGGCACAGGTGAGAACATCCTCCATTGTTGACAGAACACCAGGTGCTGGCTGCTGAGGAGACACACACATCCGGGTCAGAACCAGAACACTGCATCCAGACAACACAACCAATCAACACTCTAATGCAACCTGGAGCTGTTCAGAACCAGAACCAGAACCAGAGCTTCACATTAAAGGTTCTGTAGGACTGATTCTATTGAACTGATTCTATTGGACTGGTCCTGTTGGACTGGTCTGTGTGGTTCTGTTGGACTCACAGACGGGCTGTCTCTGGGGACTGAAAACATGGATGTCCATGGGAGAGAAGATGTTGGAGTGGACGAGGCGCTGGTTCTGACCCGTCAGCTTGCTGCAGGAGTGGATGGAGTGAGTGGTCCAGTCGGTCCAGAATAGCGTGTTCTGGAACAGGGTCAGGGCGAACGGGTGAGGCAGGTCCCCTTTGATCACCACCTTCCTGCAACACAAGCACAGGCGGGTCAGAGGGGTCCGGACCGGGCAGAACCAGGCCCAGACGCAGCGGGGTCCGGACCGGGCAGAACCGGGCCCAGCGGTACCTTGCGGAGCCGTCCAGGTCGGCCCGGTGGATGAAGTTGAGCTTGGCGTCGGCCCAGTACAGCTGCAGCTCAGAGTAGTCCAGGGTCAGTCCGTTGGGCCAGTTGATGTCCTTATCGATGATGATGGACCGGTTGGTCCCGTCCATCCCGGCCCGCTCGATCTTTGGCACCTCGCCCCAGTCCGTCCAGTACATGAACCTGAGGACAGGGACAGCACAGACTCACAACAGGTGCACACAATCATTGTTCAGGTTGTCCACACAACCTGTTTGTGTTTCTGACAACCAGACCCCGCCTCCTGCTTGTTTGATGGACAGCCAGGAGAACACACCTGGATTAACCCTGTGCAGGTGTTCATCAGGACAACACCTGGATTAACCCTGTGCAGGTGTTCATCAGGAGAACACCTGGATTAACCCTGTGCAGGTGTTCATCAGGACAACACCTGGATTAACCCTGTGCAGGTGTTCATCAGGACAACACACCTGGATTAACCCTGTGCAGGTGTTCATCAGGACAACACCTGGATTAACCCTGTGCAGGTGTTCATCAGGACAACACACCTGGA